GCATTTTCAGGATCTCACCATTGCCACGAATTGTGCTGAAGTGATTTCAAACATTAGATCGTCAGGGGTTCCTTCTTATGCTCCTATCCTTCGAGAGATCCATACTAGTTGTAATGATTTTTCTTTTGTTGATTTCCGTTTTGAAAGTAGAGATAATAATTTTGAGGCCCACTTGCTTGTCAAGGGAGCTGCGTCTCTCGCAGTGAGTCGTCATGTGTGGCTAGGGATGCTACCAGAGATTGCTTGTATTCCGGACGTTGTGAACTTTGAATAAAATCCCTAGATTACCTTCAAAAAGAAAAGAAAAAAAAGGGGCATCGTCTCTTCACTCCATCGACTCGCCTCGATCCCCAATTCCCCGTTCTGCCCAAACCCTGAATCCACGGGAAACAAACGAACAGAATGGAAGGAGAGACGCGGCCGCCGCCGGAGCTGGACGGAATGGAGGGTGAGGCGCAGCCGCCGGCGGCGGCGTGTGTCTCCAAGGTGCTCGACGACGAGAACCTCCTGACGGAGATCATCGTCCGCGTCGGCTGCCCCACCAGCCTCGTCCGCGCCGCCGGAGTCTGCAGGCTCTGGCTCAGCCACGCCTCCGACCGCGCCTTCCTCCGCCGTTTCCGCGAACTCCACCCGCCCAGACTCCTCGGCTTCTACCTCGCGCAAAGGGAGTATCCGGACGCCGCCGCACGCTTCTTCCCGATGCTGCCTCAGCCTCCGGGGCTCGATGCCGTCGTCCGCCGCGCAAGCTTCAGCCTGGACACCTACGAGGGCGCAGACATGATGGAATGCTGGAACGGCAGCGTCCTCACCTGCTTGCACGTACAGAACTTCAATCACCGCCGATCCGAAATTATATTTGCTGTGCACAGCCCGCTATGTTCCGAGAGAGGTATACCCACCATCCCAGCATTACACCACAAATTCGGGGAAGGCAAATTATGCACTTTTATTCAGCTCTTTTCCAAAGAAGAAGGCGATGGCGTGTCCTACTTTTATATCAGGGTGGAGTGCGACAGGCTTCAAACATATTCTACGGTGCATGTATATGTGTTGCAAAATGGTGATGATGTCTGGCGCACCCATCTTACCTTGGCCTCAGGAGACATCCTACTATATCCACGATCCAGTCCCAAAGGGGTGCTCGTTCACAACAAAATCTATGTGCCGTGCGACCCAAATGAAATTGTTGTCCTGGATTTGACAACCTCGATCTTATTGACAATTCAGCTCCCACAAGGGGTGGGTTTTGGCTTAGCAGGCAACACCATGCTGTCACGGGCTGATGATTCTTCTGGTGTATATCTCATCCATGCCAAAGAGTTTCAACTTCACATATGGCTCCTCAAGGGAGACAGCTGGTTGTTGGTGGACACCATTTGTTTGCGTGAAATGTGTGCTAATTTGCTTGAGGATGAGCCTATTGCTGATATCTAGATAAACCATGTGGGGGACTATAATGAGTTTGTATTCTTGGAGATGGGTCGATGTGCACTCTATTTGGATATCAAGTGCAGGACACTGCGTAAAGTGTATGAGATGACATCAGAGGAGCAACATTTGGGTGATATCTATCCTTTTATGATGAGCTGGCCTCCCATATTCCCTGCACTCGTGGATAGTCCTACAAGGTGTGCCTTTTTTCCCTTTTGGTGATCTGTATCGCGTCCTCGTAGAGGTTGCAGAGTTTTCCAATGTGCATCGTGCATCTCACTGTTTCGTATAGTTGTGGGGTGGTTTTACATATGTGATTGATTCCTTAGGCCTTTTTAAGAATACTAATTAAGCGACATTAGTGAATTTTGCTCAATATTAGTTGCAAAATTGCACATGATAGTGTCGATGGTTGTTGTTGTTTGTACATATATTGAAGTATTAGACTGTAGCGGACCCCTCTGTGACTCTGTGGAATACTCCCTCCGTCCAGAAATACTTGTCATCAAAATGAATAAAAGGGATGTATCTAGAACATACATCCCTTTTATTCATTTTGATGACAAGTATTTCCGGACGGAGAGAGTACTTGCTTCTGTTTGTGCTGGCAGCAGAAGTCATGCTTCCTGAACCTGGTCTTCCCTTTATAGTCTCATAATAAAAATTCGTAGTGGTGCTGAAAACTGCCCTATTTGCTTCTTTCGCATGGATCTCTCATTCTGTTCTATACTTGTATCACAGTTATCTGAACTAGCAGTGCAAAATTGCAAACTGGACCTACAAAAACATGAGACAGCATGTATAAGAGGATTAAGAGCTGAAGTATGCCTAGCCTTGTCAATCTGTTATCATGCTGACCACTATGTTTTCTTGCACATAAATAGTCAGAAACCCATAAATTCTGGAATTTCCTATTTCTTAAATCCATTGTGTAATTTTCTACATACTACTTCTCGACTGTGAACCTCAAGCTACTTATGAGGTTGCTAATACTTGTTTCCCCCCAGAATGTTGCCTAGTGGATCGTATGTTCTTTTTCTCAAACACAAGTGCTGGATTTTACGCCGGTGCTCTTGACCTTATTCATGATTTGTGATTCAGATATATTGCAGTGAAAACCTTCCTTTTGGTACTCCCAAGCTAAAAGTGGCTAGTTTATGTTTGTGTGGCATTTCTCTTTCTATATCGGAGTTTTGGTTTTGTTGGAATACAAACTATAAAATGGAAATATGTCTGACTGGGATACGAAGGCATTTAACCTATGCTGCTGTAAATTTTGGAAATAAAAACTATATTGCTTGACCAAATCCATCCCTTTGATTTCTGAGTGCACTTGACATTTGACTATCGGTGGTGTTATTGTGATGCTTAAAGTGGCAAATTGAATGAAACATGATGCTTAATTACCTCCATCTGGATTCTCCTATGTCTTCTCTGAAACAGAAATGTCACGTGAAGGAGACTAGGAAGCTTTTGGATGGTTTGCTTGTGTCAAGAGCGCTATAAACGAAGAGCACGGGGCTGCATTTCCTCAGTAGCAGTTCTAACCGTGTTCATCTTATAAGTAGTGGTGGATTAATTAGGATGCTATGTAACTGTATCAGGCACTCTTGTCCTGTGACATCAGTAGTGTTACTCTGTTAGCGACCAATTGATTTCTCTGTTTCGTCTTGTTGCCCTGTGTGGTTCCGGTGCTTGCCCGCTTCAGCTTGCTCCTTGTGGCATCTGGGGGTTGGTTCCACAGCTTTGCTACTTGTGGCATCTGGGGTTGGTTCCACAGCTTGCTAGTTGTGGCATTTGGAGAAGCGTCTTACTGTATCAATATTACAGAATCGGTTTCAGTTAGGGATGTGTAGCTATCTGACGTAACAGTAAAAGAAAGCTTCGTTGAAGGCACGATCTACTCTTCTTCTACTTTCCCTGTTCCTAAATATAAGTCTTTTTGAGATTTCAATAAGAATATTTTTGTTGAGAACTCCCTTCGAACTGCTCAAATTTGAGAGGCGGTCGACACGACTCCTAACTTTTTGAACAGCTAAGAGCAACTCTAGCCTATCCCCTAAGAAATAGAGAAAATGGCCGAGTAAAGTTTAGTGGAGCCCTTCGACCAATCAAATTTGAGAGGCGGTCAACGCGACTCGTAACTTTTTGAGCAGCTAATAGCAACTCTAGCCTAACCCCTAAAAAATAGAGAAAATGGCCGAGCAACTCTAGCCTATCCCCTAAAAAATAGAGAAAATGGCCGAGTAAAGTTTAGTGGAGTAAAAATACTCCAGTAAGTTTTGACCAGACCTAGCCGACCCTCTAAATATAAATGGAGTAAACTTACGTTTGGGTCATACATTTTGTCGAACACATGCTATGCACCGCTGCAATGATGGTGGCCACGCCGGCAACGTTGGTGCGCACTTCAGACACGCTAGCAATGCTGGTGAGCGCTTCTCGCGGCCTTACTGGAGCGGGGCCTCCGTCCACACCATGCATGGTGGGGCGCTAGGGGCGACCTTGTGGCCCGTGCTGCTCTAGCGAGGCGCGGGCGAGGAAGGATGCGAGGTTCGAGGTGTCAGCATCCATGGTCAGGGCGTGCTTTGGTTGGTGTGGGTGACGTCGCTGGTTCTGTTGGCTTCTTGGTTGCGGCTTCATGGGTCGCTTCGCGTCCTACCGCAGCTGCAAAACTCCTGCAGCAGCGGCAAAGGGGTGGGACGCTACAGAGGTGGTGGCCCAGGGGCGGAGCTGGTGATGGGATGCAGCGGCAGATTTGGGTCGGAGGGGGCGAGGAAAGCCACTAGATTTTACTCGGTCAGCTAAAGGCCGAGTATATTTACTCTACGGATAGGCTGAGTAAAAAAAATTTACTCCCCTAACCACTTGAGGAGATTGGCCAGGTGCCTGTTAGAGGAGTAAAATCAAAATTTTACTCTTTTATTATACTCCCTCCGTACTTGAAAAAGTGTACTTTCAACTTTGTTGAAATGTCAAAATATCTCAAAGATTGACCAAGTATGTGCAAAACTATATTAATTTTGTGAAACCTAATAGATATATGATAAAAATATATTTAATCATGAATCTAATGCTACTAATTCGATGAAAAAAAGTTAGTGTATTATTGTATAAAATACGGTCAACTATAAATTTTTTTGACTTACCAACAAAATTGAAAGTACACTCTTTAAAAAACGAAGGGCGTAGTCTTTAGGGGATCGGCTAGAGTTGCTCTCAACCGGCCGAGAGTTCGACTAGGTCTGATTAGGGTTGGGCTTGAGATGCTCTAACTGCTTGACAGCAACAAAATTACAGTTTAACACCGTAAAATCCACCGGAGCATAGCAATACGTATTCTTCTTCCCTAAGAAAAGCATAATTTTTGTGTACTCTTTTCGAGAAATATAGCATGTGTGCGTGTTGTAACTAGTTAATTTCTGAAATATGAACAGAATGGCGAAACACAGCAACGACAGGCCGGAAGCTCGCTCGCAATCTTCCATGCACCATCGGTCTCTCTCAATGAGCATTCCCGCATCGATCGGTCCCCGTCGTCGATCTCAATCAATCAACAAATCGATCAATCAATGTATGCACTTGCCTCCCTCGAACCTCCACCCGATCTTGCCGGCCCGGCGCTCCCACTCCGGGCGCGACACGTAGCGCCTCCAGTCCTCGACGACGCGCCGGAGGTCGTGCAGCTTGTTCTCCAGGCCGATGCAGCAGGTCATGTGCACGGTGGCGATCCGGTTCAGGTCGCGCCCGAGCTGGCAGAAGCCGCTGACGTGCTTGCTGTCGACGAACCTGATCCGGACGCCGATGGGCGGCGCCGCCAGCTCCCGCTTGATCTCGTTGAAGACGAACTGGTCGTGGTTCTCCGGGAAGCGCGCCCTGGCGGCGTGCCAGTAAGCCATGGCGCGCGCGTTGCGGGCCGTGGCCTTGAAGTAGATGAAGCCCGTGTTGGGGTAGTTGCCCAGGTCGTCCGGGTCGCCGAAGTAGAAGTCGCTCGACGTCGTGATGTCCGCCGCCGCCGTGATGTGCACCCGCGGGTCCCGGAACCACGCCACGTCCACGTCCTGCACCCACGCACCCCGCACCTCGTCAACGCCTCGATCGGTAGAGAGATGCCGGCACGATTATTATTTCTAACGGAGATCGAGAGAGCACGTCGATCGATCTCCAGAGAAAAGAAAACGATGGAAAAAAACTAAACTAAAGTAATGGCAATGGCGACGAGACGACGTGCCGTGAAGAGGAGGTTGTAGCCGAGGAGGAGGACGCGGTGCTGGAGCCGGAGCTTGCTCCAGACGAGGTCGAGGTACTCCTTGGTCATGTAGCTCTTGGCGCCGGAGAGGTCGAGGCCGTGGACGTCCGGGAGCAGCAGGTGGCAGTGCGGGTGCACGGCGCGGCACCGGCGGAGCGCGCCCTCGTCCATGGCCACCACCACGATGTGCTTCACCAGGTGCGAGATGTTGAGCCCCACGCGGAAGCTCTCGAGGAAGGAGTCCAGCAGCGACCCCTCCGCCGCCCACGCCTCGTTCACCGACGTCATGATCACCGTCCGGTCCTCCATCGCCGCCCGCCGCAGCATCCGCGCGAACGCGTCGTCGCCGCCGCCCGTCTGCGCCAAGGAAACCGTTAAGCAGATTAGAATCAGATAGCAACGGCCGAAGAGCTAGCAAATACGAGTAGATCGTAGTACCGCATTGGTAGGAGAAGAAGCCTTCGTCGCCGGCGCGGAAGCCGGCCGAGCCACCGCGTGGCTTCCCTGAGGGGTGAACTCCGTCGTCGCCGTGGGCCACGCGGGGCCTGCGGTGGCGGTGTAGAAGAAGACGAGCAGCGCAGTCGCTGAGGCCGCCCCTGAGAGGAAGATGGCCACCGGCGAGGGCTGGGTGCTCTTGGAGATCGCCATGCCGGAGCAGCAGCTGGATCAACTCCGAGGCATGCAGGGGAAAGGAAGGAGCAAAGAGCTCGGAGGCGGCTTCCTATAACTCTACCAGCAGCAAGCCCGGCTTTCCTCGGACGCTGATAGGCCGTGCCAGTTCGTGCCTTCTCCACTCTCACTGTACTGCTACCATTTCTTGGCCCATTATTTATTGGACTAGTATCATTCTATGCATGTTATGCATCACGGGTGGCTCGTTGACGGGGTGATTAACTAACGCGCCATCGACTAATCAAACGCGAGGTCGTAGCCAGGTCCGATGCCATCCACATGGCTGCCCGCAATCAAACCGACAGATGAAACCAGCAGGGCGCGCGCATGGTCATGGCCAGGTCTCAGAACTCTCGCAGCCGAGCTTAATTACGAACGCGACGGATGACTGGGGTGGGCCGGTCCTATTGCTTGGACGAGTTCGCCATGCCTCCATCGCTGCCACAGTGCACACGGCCGGAGGAGGAGGAGGAGAAGCTTCCGCAAGCAAAGCAGCAGCCGGTCGACAGACACTGGCGCCAATTGAATGCCGAGACCTCGACGTGCACGGTGCAACGCATGGTTGTGGGCCGGGGAGGCATTCGCGGGAACAAATAATCATGGCGAACTCCGGCCGTCCGTCACCAGCGCCTACCTACTAGTGTCAGCGTCACCAGTATCGCCGCCCGTACTGGCATGCTGCTGGCTTCTGCCAGAGCGACGCGTGCACGTCTTGGCCGGCGTATCGTGTGCACGGCGCACCGACGACGGCCGCCTCCATATGCAGCGGCACAGCGGCACATCTGATCCGCACATGGCGCGGTTCTTTGGCATGCTGGCGACACCGTACCAGTGGACGGTGGTGTTAGAACGAGGCGGGCGGGCACGTCTGTGACTGTGATAGTACTTGCTGTTAGGTGGTTAAACTGACTTTGCTCTGACCTCTGCGAATAGGACTGAACTCCGCCGAACTTCTCATCTTTTTTCCGTTGCGCGTCCGTCGTTGGACTGAAGAAGAAAGCTGCGGCTCGACCGAGAGACAGCTTGCCTGACGGGTGCTTGTGAACCAATTCATCGCTTCCATACAAGCCCCGGTAGCCCCGAGTCGTGGCGTTTTCCCCTTCTGCGATTAGTCGCCAGTCGCGACGGAATCATGATGGCCTCCCACCGGAAAACTGCACTGTTCCTGCTGTCTAAGTTTCGAAGGGAAAAAACTGCTTCTACTGTGCAAGTCACCTAAGGCACCTTCAACGCCAACCCTTAAACCATCTACAATTGTTCGGACCATGGAAGCCATCCAATTTGATCCTATATTGGTCGGCAGCACGGTCTGGACGTGTTTTCTCCCACAAACCGGAGACAAAAGTGGAGAAGGTTTGCGGAAGTCCAAACCAATTCCAAGCCCGCTCCCATGCCCGCTTCCAAGTCCAGACCGATCCATCACAAAAAAAAAGACCGATCCCAAGCCCACTTCCGACCGTCATGACCCTCCGAAAAACTGCACGTCATCTATGTGTTTGGCTCAAGGGAGATGCTAAGGTGGTTATGGGTATCCCTATCCAACTGGTTAGAGCATTTCCAACAGGCGCGCAACGCTCGGCGCCTAAAAAACAGTTTGCAGCGCCTGAATCGCCTATTTTTGCGCGCCGCGGTGCGCTGGCTTCAGCGGCTGAGGCAGTCCTGGATTAAGGGGTCCTCGGGCGTCCGGCCTATGTGACATGGGCCGGACTATTGGGCCATGAAGATAAAAGATAAAAGACTTCCTCCCGTGTTCGGATGGGACTCTCCTATGCGTGGGAGCCAAGCTAGGCGTCTGGATGTATTATTTTCTTTCTCTGTAACCGACTTTGTATAACCCTAGGCCCCTCTGGTGTCTATATAAACCGGAGGGTTTAGTCCGTAGAGAGCAATCACAATCATACAGGCTAGACTTCTAGGGTTTAGCCACAACGATCTCGTGGTAGATCATAATCCTCATACTCATCAATATCAATCAAGCATGACCTAGGGTATTATCTCCATCAAGAGGGCTCGAACCTAAGTAAAATATCACGTCCCTTACCTCCTGTTACCATCGACCTTAGACGCACAGTTCGGGACCCCCTACCCGAGATCCGCCGGTTTTGACATCGGCATTGGTGCTTTCATTGAGAGTTCCACTGTGACGTCGAAGTTAGGGTTGATGGCTTGCCTCGTTATCAGAGACAATATCAACTCTGGAGGAGCTCTGGCCTCAGGCCAAACCCTAAAAATCTTTTTTGTGTAATTCCAAATGTGAAGCAAGTCTCCATATCCTATTGGTGAAACTGAATACTTGAAATCCAACAGAACCCTTGTTTTCGGGCGGCTTTACCATGACCGCCTGTTCGGCCGTTAAGCCGACGATGACTTCTCGGGTCATCGAAAATCGCCTCCGTGTTGACTTTGAATACTCCAGACAGATGGATTCGGTGGAGTGCTTGTCTTTAAACGAACTCCTGGATCGCATTGCCGCCATGGGGGTCGCTACTGACTATGATCGGATTGGGCTTAAACCCGATCAGAGAGAAATCAAATCACCGCCGATCACCCATCAGATAGCGGTCATAGAAGAGCAAAACAATAATTCTTCCCCTATGCTGAAGACGAACTATGTTCGGATTTTTGAGCTCGAGGAGCTGGATACCTGTCTGCGGAACGACAATCCAAGACCTCAGAATCCGGAATCGGGCGTGGGGCCCGGAAAATCATTGGACATCACGGAACCCGAACTAATAAGCTCGGAAGCTTCTCAAACTCCGGACTTCAAATTGGGTCAGGGTTCGGATTTAAAGCCACCCACCCACCACATGCAATATTCAACAAGAAATTCCGGTCATCCGGATATATGCAACCTCACGTGCATACGACAGCGGTCTCAGGAAACAGTCCATCACTTTTGGACCAGGTTCCTCCTTGTCAAAGACAAGATTAAAGATTGTCGCGATGAGGACACGATTTCAGTATTCTGCAATAATTGCACGGATGAAGGAATCCTCAACGCCATCAACCACCGTTGCGAATTACACTTCGCGGACTTGGCAACTATAGTACAGAAGTACTGCACAATAGAAAGCGCCTGGAAAACTCAGACAGCTCGCTGGGAGCCACGGTCTCCACCCAATCCCATGCACCCTCACGGGGCACCCGAACCCATAGTAAAGAAAATTAAACCCATTACGGGATGCGGAACCGTTCTGGAGGGCTGGCTCAATAGGCCATGCAAAATACACACGACACTGGATGCCGTACCAACCCACGGCCTTAGAGCATGTTGGATACTCCGGCAAGTGTCCAAGAGCGGCGAGGATATCCTCACCAAAAACACCACGGAGCAACTCCCCCCGGAACACGACGACCACATAGTATTGACAGTCTTCGAGACTTTCGCTTCAAACAATCGGCGCAAGAGGGCACTCCGCGACCTCGCTGAAGTCTGCCAAGTCGCAACAATAAATCCTTGGAACGACACGGCCATAACTTTCAACGCCAGTGACGAACCAAAAATCCGGTCAGTCCGGGCACCGGCCGCCTTGGTCCTCAACTCAATTGTGGATGGCTTTCGGCTCACTAAAGTGCTCATGGACGGCGGCAGCGGAATAAACCTCATCTAGGAGGACACACTGAATAAAATGGAAATAGACAGGAGCCGCATCGAGCATAGTAATACGACCTTCCGAGGGATCATTCCCAGCCGAGAGGCATGATGTGCGGGGAAAATTACACTCGACGTGGTATTCGGCACGTCGGAGAACTATCGGTCCGAAGAGATAACCTTCCAAGTGGCCCCTTTCAACAGTGGATATCACGCCCTATTGGGGAGAGATGCATTCACACGCTTTCAAGCTATACCTCATTATGGGTATATGAAGCTCAAGATGCCCGGGCTCAACGGTATTATCACTCTTGCTAGTGATCCGGACATAGCCCTCCGTGCCGAAAACAAAACAACATCCCTGGCCCTCGAGGCACTGTCTGAGGCCCTCGCGGCTGAAGAGTTAACCGCACTACACTCTACGGTGGATAGGGATGACATAATCCTTAATAAGCGTCCCAAATCCACCTCCTTCAAACCAACAGACCAAATAGTCAAATTTTAAGTCCACCCGACGGACCCCAAGAAGACAGCTTCCATCGGGGCACAACTGGACCCAACGGTTGACGCCGCACTACGAATCCTGGCGCCTGAACGTCGGTTTCAAATCCTGGCGCCTGTGCATTCAAAGACCTCAATAAGGCTTTCCCTAAGGATCCCTTCCCCCTCCCCCGCATCAATCAGTTTATTGATGCTACTGCAGGACACGACTCACTGTGTTTCCTCGACGCATACTCCGGATACCATCAAATCAAAATGAAGGAGTCCGATCAAGCCGCAATGGCATTCATTACCCCATACGGGCCTTTCTGCTTCAACACTATGACTTTTGGGCTAAAAAACACCGGCGCCACCTACCAACGCATGATACAAACATGCCTGGAGAAGCAAATCAGCAAGACAGTTGAAGCATATGTAGATGACGTCGTCATAAAGACTAGGCACGTCGAGTCATTAATAGACAATCCGCGTCTCACATTCGACAGTCTCCGAACTTATGACATCAAGCTCAATCCAGAAAAGTGTGTTTTCGACGTTCCCGCTGGAAAACTGTTGGGCTTCATCGTTTTCAATAGAGGAATTGAGGCAAATCCAGCCAAAATCCGAGCTTTGTCACAATTGACTACACCAACAGACCTTAAACAGGTCCAAAAGCTAGCCGGATGCGTAGCAGCATGTAACGCCCTCGATGCGGCTATAGCTCCCACGTGTCGAGGCACGACTTAGAGACATAACCGCATCGAAAGCAATGTCGCAAGTTAGGCAATCATCACAAAATCCCATGTAATGCATAATAAAAGGGGGAGACACATAGTTGGCTTACACTCGCCACGTCACATCAAAGTACATAAATAACATCCATCATACAAACACTCATGGCCCG